CCCCCCCCCCCCCCCCCCCCCCAAACCCCCCCCGCCAAAAAAAAATCAACTCTTCTTTTTCCAACCCATAGTTTTTCTCATATTTCCAAATTACCCTTCTTCCTCCTCTCCTCTCCTCTTCTTGTTCTTCCTCCTCTCCTCTTCCTGTTCTCCCTCCACCAACACCTCCCTTCTCCTCTTTCCTCTGTCCCCTCAACCCTAATCCCTCCTCCACCACCTCCTCCCACCTCCTTTGTCCACCTCCATCTTCCTCGCTCATGGACCCATAGACCCTCATGAATCCATAAACCCACTTCACTCTCCCTCATGAATCCATGAGCCCTCCCTCCTCTTAAGGGGTGTTTGTTTGCATGCAAGTGAAAAATAAAATTGGGAAAGTAACTCACTTTTATCACTTTAGATGTTTGTGTGCATGCATGTGGTTATGAAAGTGAAATATAAGAAAGTTACCACATATGATTTAATACAATTTTAACTTCCCCTAATAAAATTGGTGAAGTCAGAGTCACATTAAAGAGAAAAAAATGGAGACCACTTTAACTAAATGACTAACTATGTCTATTGATAAATCCAATTTTGCTACATCATATTCACATTGTACTTTTAACAATAATTTGATTTTTCAAGAAAACACTATATTTCACATGCATGTTGACATAAAAAAAGTCATTTGCAAAAATAAATGAACTTCCACATTTTCAATTCAATTTCAAATTGCCAAACTTCTTTCTATCTCCTCCCTCCACCTCCTCCATTCTCTTTTTTCTTGGTGCCACTTTCACCTTCATCCCTCTTCCATCCAATCTCCCCACTCTTCCTTCTGTTTCTTTTTTTTTCAACTTCTATCTTCATCTCTCATGAACCTATAAGCCCACAAGAATACATTTCATCTCTCCTTCATGGACACATGAACCCTCCTCTCTCCACCACGGCTCAGCCATCGCCTCCACCTTTTGCTACTCTTGCCTCCGACAAAGACACTCCAAAGCTAACACTTAACGTTCACAGTTAACATTTAAGCTTTAAAATTAACATAAAAGTGTTTAAAGTTAACATTTAAAGTTTAAAATTAACATAGAACCTTCAGCGTTAACAATTAACACATAAAGTTAACATAAAAGCGTTAAATTTAATCTAAAACAATGTTTCTTATTAACTATGGCATGATTTTGTTAACTTCAATTATTATTTAGTTAATAGTTACCTTTAGTTTAAATATTAACACTTAAGCTTAAAAGATAATATAAAAGCGTTTAATATTTTATGTTAATTATAAAGCTTGTAGGTTAACTTTAGAACTTAAATATTAACTTTAAATGTTAACTTTGAAGCTTAAAACTTAATTTTAAATATAAATTTTAAACTTTTATGTTAATTTTAAACCTTAAATGTTAACATTTAAACTAAAGTTAATTGTTAACATAAAACAACTAAAATTAACAAAAAAAAGCATGTCAAAATCAACAGAAAAACATTGTTAAAGGTTAACTTTAAAATTAATTTGTTAGCTTTGAAGATTCTATGTTAATTTTAAATATTGAATGTTAATTTTAAACATTTATGTTAACCTTAATTAGAGTACAAAGATTAATTGGTGGATTACTTATGTTGGTGAGATAATTACTTTCAGTTATAACTTGATTTTGATTAGGTTTTAGTTTTTAGTTTTCAGTTAATACAAGATCTTGTGAAATTAAGTTTGCACGCAATCTCTATATATGCAAAATTTCTTACTGTTGTTACATATCATGTTTAGTTTGGTTTATATAATGAACTTGGTTAGGAAATAGAATATATTTTTGTGAAGTTAAGAACCCAAGAGTTGGAAGTGTTTGGTTTATCTAAAATATATTTTTATTGCCTTAAACTTGACAATGTTAACTTATTTGACCATTTGATGATACTTTTTGGAATGGTTGTTAGTCAAATATGACTAAGTTGTTTGTCATATATGACTAACATATGTTAAGAAATTGTGATGCTATATTTTTATATTTTATAATGGTGATGCTATGTTTGAAAAGTTTGATGATTCTTAGTATTGAAGTTATTATGAATTGTTAGTATTCATAAATACCTAAATAATTAATAAACAATATAACCTACGTTATGCATTATTTTTATTATTTTTTTTGCATTTTTCCTTAACCCTTAATAGGAGGTCAAGCATTACAGAACTCATTCTCATTATTTTCAACATTGACTTTGGGTATATGAGAAAAGTTAGGGGGTGGAAGAAAGAAAAGTTGGACTAAGGGAAGCAGGAGACATTTCATTTTTTTTTCCAAAGGGGGTGAACACATAACTCTTTTTCCAAAGGGGTTAGGAAGCAATTTTCCTTTACAATTTAACGAAAATTATAGGCCAACCAATAAATTTTACTTATGTCATAAGCTCCAGGTAGACTAGGGTGGGAGAATAGACAAGCGACTGGCAAGTCCTGAGGTCACCTAGGCCACTTGCAATCAATTGGATCTTTCGAATTCTATGACTTGTTGTTGCATAGTCGTTGTAATGAAGTTGTCTCGAGTAAGTTTCAAGAAACAGAAGGTCTTCTCTTTGTACTCAGGCTCATTTTCTCTGTCTCCTCTCTTCATAGACCTTAAAACTCTATCTCACAAATTCTTCCCATATATGTTATTAACATTTATTTTTCAGTTATAAACACCCATCCGGTGCCAAATAGATTCTTTGAATAAACCTCTGCTGCAAAAGGTTGCTCACATCTTCAACCTTTTGTTCCCTTACACCAATCTGTTGGGTCCTCAAACTTCAACCATCTAATTCCTAAGTCCATTAAAATGCGTTATCCAAAAAACTAGCCTCAGAACCATATCTAAATCATTACCAACAATTTGTCTTTGCAAATTAAGAAACAACTTCTGTGGTATCACAACCTAGAGCTGACACATAAAATTCTAATCACCCTAGGCACCACTAATAGAAGAACCATGATGCGGTCACACTTACAGTTCTCCTAACAACTGCTAAACAATACAAGGCATGTAAGTACACAATTTCTTGCACTCATATTAGCAGGATTACGTGCAAGTAATTTACTATAAATACTCTATCCAAAGAATATGATATAGTCCATCTGTTCAAATTTTCTATGACTTACATGGTAAATTTGTAATTTCTGCTCCACACCTATCTATTTTATAAACTTTTTCTATTGCATTTAGAAACCCTCTTGACCCTGAACCAAAGCAAGTAATACAAACATCAAGGGCAGAGCCACATAGGGCCAACAGGACCAAAACCCCCCGAATAATTAAAAAAAAAAGAAGTAGATATTGAGTTTTTTTATATCAGCCTCTTACATCTTTCATATTTTAAAACTAGACCCTCAAATCATGAAAATTGCTATTAGGTCCCTCAATTCTTTGGTCATTTTGAATTTAGTCGCTCAAATGTCCCTCAATTATTTAACTTATTTTGAAACAGGTCATTTTGAATATATTGTTTTGGAATATTATTTTCTCCAATCTCATAATTTTTTTCCCCAAATTAATCCTTGAGTGGAGTGACTAATTTCAAAATAAGTCAAAATTTTGGGGGACCTAGTAGCAATTTCAGGGACTAATTTCGAAATATGAAAGATTTAAGGGACTAATATGGTGACTCAATTATGGAAGGATTTCTTAGAAGAGGTTGGGTATTTTCTTTCTCCATGGGCGAGGGTTTAATTATTTTTTAGAACCCCCTTGCCAAAATTCCTAGCTCCGCCATT